TTCCCTACAAGTCAGAACCCTTTTAGTCACTGAAGTGCAGCAGTGACAATTCCTTAGGAAAAGAGGGTGCTTTAGTCCCACATACCTTTTCCATAACAAGCCGTGCAATTTTAATGGGGTTTGCGACACAGCGCACTGCAGACACTGCTCCTGCAGACAGGTCTTTCCCATTCATGATACTTGCATCCATTTCAACTTCACCATTTTCGTTCAAGACAGATCCACGACCTAAAATCAAAAAGAAGCCGAAAAGCAAGAATTAAGAATTTAGAAATGGCTTCAGAGTTTCCCCTAAGCTGCCTACTTTTAATTCATCCTCTACTCCATTGTCAAAGGAATGTTTTTAAAAACACAGATCTGACTTGATACCCCATGACCTACACAATAAACGGTATGAAGCCCTTCCTGATCTGGCCTCTGACTTACTTTTCCAGCTTCATCTCTTCTCCTTGGCAACATTTTACTGAAATATTAGGTTTCCCTGAATGTACCATTAGCTCTCATTACTCTGTTCTCTTTACCACTAGCAACTTTTCTCCAACTTTCTCTGCCTAGATAATACTTGTAAGCCTAGCTATTCTTAAACTCTATGTGACTCAGTTTCCTCAGAGGGATAAGAACAAAGCTCAAGAATATTTAAAGGAGCATAAAAATATCCAGCTACTAACAAGTGTTTGGTATCTAATAAGAAATTAACAGGCTCACAAAGAAACAGGAAAATATGACTCGTAATGAGGAGGAACAACAACAAAAAAATCAATTAATAGCAACAGACTCAGAAATGACATAAATGATAGAATTATTAGACAAAAATGTTAAAACGGCTGTCATATGTACCAGAACATGGAAGAAAATATGAAAAGGACCCAGAGAGAACTTCTAGAGACAAAAAAAGAGGTCTGAAATGAAAAATACACTGGATAGGATTAACACCAAATCAGACACCGCACAAAAGATGAATGAACTTGAAGACACAGCAAACAAAAAGACTGAAAAAATATTGAACAGAGTTTATCACTGAGCTCAGGGACAGTTTCAAGCAGCCAGTATATGTGTAATTGGAGTCCCCAGAAGGAGAGGTGAGATAGAGGGACAAAAAAATCTTTAAGGAAATGATGACTTTTCAAATTTGGTGAATACTATAAATTCACACATCCGAAAAGCACATCAAACTCCAAGGAAAAGAAACATGAACAAAACTACACTCAGGCACATCATGATCAAACAGCTTAGTGCTAATGAGAAAGAGAAAATCTTAAAAGCAGCCAGAGAAAGACACATTAGGTACAGAGGAAAAAAGAAAAACGATAGCATACTTCTTGTCAGAAACAATGCAAACCAGAAGACAGAGGAGCAGGATCTTTGAAGCCCTCAAAGAAAAAAAAAAAACTGTCAAGTTGGAATTCTACACCCAGTGAAAGCATCTTTCAAAAACCCAAAACAAAGACGTTTATAGACATAACAAAAGTTAAAAAAAAAAGTCATCAATAGCAGATGTGCAATATAAGAAATGTTAAAGGAAGTCTTTCAGGCAGAAGGAAAATGATAGAAAAGAGCAATCAGCATTCTCCCAAAGAATGAACACTGGATGTGGCTAATATGTGGATAAACAGAAATACCTTTTCCCTTTATTTTTACGATATCTTTAAAATATAACTGTTTAAAGGAAAAATAATAACAATGCATTAGGCAACTTATACACATAAGTAAACCATATGACAACAGTAGTACAAAGGCTAGGAAAGGGGAAACAGGTGTATGCTGTAAAAGGATCTTATATTATGCATGAAGTGTGATATTACTTAAGGTAGACTGTGACAAGTGAGAGATATATACTATAAACCCTAAAACAACCTTTAAAAAAAGAAGTTGAGCTACTAGGCCAACAAAGGAGATAACATGGAATTATGAACATTCAGTTATTCCAAAAGAAGGCAGAAAAAAGCAGAAAAAGAGGAAACAGGGAACAGTGAATAGATTGGACAAATAGAAAACAAACAGCAAGATGACAAATTTATGCCTAACCATATCAATGATCACATTAAATGTAAATGGTCTAGACACCCCAATAAAAAGCAGAGATTGTCAGGACTTCCCTGGTGGTCCAGTGGTAAAGAATCTGCCTTACAATGCAGGGGACGCGGTTTGATCCCTGGTCAGGGAACTAAGATCCCTGAGAAGAGAAAACCCACACGCCACAACTAGAGAGAAGCCTGCACACCACAACGAGCCCGCGCACTGCAACGAAAGATCCTGCAGGCCTCAGTGAAGATCCTGAGTGCTGCAACTAAGACCCGATGCAGCCAAAAAAAAATAACAAAATAAATAAATAAATAATAAATAGATCTTAAAAAAAAAGCAGAGATTATCAAATTGTACAAAAAGATAGGACACAATTACATGCTGCCAATAAAAAAAATCCACTTTAAATATAAAGATGCAAATAGGTTAAAAGTAAAAATGGACAAATTATACCATGCCAAGATGAATCAAATGAAAACTGGAGGCAAAGTATACTTCACAATAAGGAACATTAAATAATAATAAGGACATTAAGTAATGATATAGGGGTCAGTTCACCAAGAAGACAACAATCTATATGCTAAACAACAGTTTCAAAATACATGAAGCAAACACTGACAGAACTCAAAGGAGAGAGATAGACAAATCCAGTTACAATTAAAGACTTCAATACTCCTCTCTCATTAATCAGAAATGGACAATCAAGATACAGAAGGTATGAACATTACCAATGAACTTGACCTTACTGAGATTTATAGATCTTTCCATCCAACAACAGCAGAGTACATATTCTTTTTCAGTGCAAATGGCCAAGGTAGAACACATTCTGAGCCAAAAACCAAACTTATGAAGTTTAAAAGAATACAAATCACACAAAGTATGTCCTCTGATCATAACAGAATTAAACTAAAAATCATTAACAGAGAGATATTTAGAAAATCCACAAATATTTGGAAATTAAGCATCACACTTCTAAACAACCCATGATTCAGTGAGGAAGTCACAAGCAAAATCAGAACACATTTTGAACAGAATGAAAATTAAGACAACCTGTAAAAACATGTAAAAATCAAAGCAGTGCAAGAGTAAAATTTTAAACATTAAATGCTTGTATTAGAAAAGAATAGTCTCAAATTAATGATCTAACAGGAAAAGAACGGTAAATTATTTCCAAAGCAAGCTGAATGAATAAAGGAAACAATAAAGATAAGTCAAGGAAATTCAGAACAGAAAAAGAGCAAAAGAAAAAACAGAAAATGGGACTTCCCTGGTGGCACAGTGGTTAAGAATCCGCCTGCCAATGCAGAGGACATGGGTTCGATCCCTGGTCCGGGAAGATCTCACATACCGCGGAGCAACTAAGCCGTGTACCACAGCTACTGAGCCTGTGCTCTAGAGCCTGCGCGCCACAACTACTGAGCCCGTGTGCTGCAACTGCTGAAGCCCAAGTGCCTAGAGCCCATGCTCTGCAACAAGAGAAGCCACTGCAATGAAAAGCCTGCGTACCGCAATGAAGAGTAGCCCCTGCTTGCTGCAACTAGAGAAAGCCCGCGCAGCAACAAAGACCCAATGCAGCCGCAAACAAACAAACAAATAAATAAATAAGAAAAGAAAAAAACAGAAAAATTCACCAAATCCACCCCCCTGAAACTAAAACTAGTTCTTTGAAAAGAACAATAAACTTGATAAACTCTAGACTGACAAAGAAAAAAAAGACACATTACAAAAATCAGGAATGAAAGAGGGGACCTCTCTACAGACCATACAGACATCAAAAGCATAACACAGAAATGTTGCAAATTCAGCAACTTAAACCAAATAGAAACATTTCTTGAAGGACCACTGACAAAACTCACTCAAAGAAGAAACAGATAACCTAAACAGTGCCATGCCTATTAAAGAATTTCATTTCTTAAAAACTTTCCATCAAAGCAAACAAAAAACCAATCTACCAAATATTTACAAAGAAATAATAGCAACCTTATACAAACTTCGAGAAAAACAGAAGAGGAGGGAACACTTTCCAATTCATCATATGAAGCCAGCATCACCTTCATTTCAAAACCAGACAGATGTTATAAGAAAATAAAACTATAGACCCGTATCTCTCATGAACATTGATGCAAAATCCTCAAGAAAACACCATCAAATCAAACCCAGCATTTACATAAGTAAAAAATAACATGTCACAACAAAGTGGTGTTAATCCCAGAGAAGAAAACCTGGACCAAAATTCAAAAATCAATCAATCAATATTCACCATATCAACAGACAAAAGAAAAACCACATGGTCATCTCAATAGATGCAGCAAAAGGATTTGGTAAAATTCAACATCCACAGATGATTAAAAATCTCAAAAAACTAAGAATAAGCGAACTTCTCAACCTGGTAAAGGGCACCTATAAAACCCTACCACCGGGGCTTCCCTGGTGGCGCAGTGGTTGAGAGTCCGCCTGCCGATGCAGGGGAAACGGGTTCGTGCCCCGGTCCGGGAAGATTCCCACATGCCGCGGAGCGGCTGGGCCTGTGAGCCATGGCCACTGGGCCTGCGCGTCCGGAGCCTGTGCTCCACAACGGGAGAGGCCACAGCAGTGAGAGGCCCGCGTACCACACACACAAAAAAAATCACATCAAAAAGCAAACAAAAAAAAAAAAAAAAAAAAAAAAAAAAAAAAAAAACCCTACCACCAACATCATACTTAACGATGAAAGACAGTGCCTTCCCCCTAAGACTGGGAAAAATGCAAGAATTTCTGCTCTAACCACTCCTATTCAACATAATATTGGACGGCCCAGCCAATGTTAGAAAAGGAAGAAAAGGCATAAAGTTTGGAAAAGAAGAAATAAAATGGTCTCTATTTGCAGCTGACATTACTAGAAGTTACAGTAAGCAAGACTGTGGTGTTGGTGAAAGAATTTGACAAATAGATCAATGGAACAGAATAGAAAGTCCAAAACAGATCCACATAAATATATAAACTGATCTTTGACAAAGGAGGTGTGATACTTTGATTTATCATAATTACATATTTTGGTCTTCGTCCAGGTACGTGGTCCACAGCTGCTAAACCCTTTGGAATTTCCTAAGGGATTAGAACAATGGGAGCATCTTTTGTTATAATATTTGGTCTTTTGCCCTCAGTTCCTGAAACCACTTCAGATCCATACAGGTGAAATTGGTGTCCTGTTACTCATAACAAGCAGTTTTCAACCAAAACCAAATTTATGTTAATGAGGTAACTTTTGAAAACCCCCTAAAGGTGGGGGGCTGGTTGCCAGCGGAACCAACCAGGATTAAAGGGCTGGAACTTTCAGTCCCACCCCCTGATTTCTGGGGAGGGGAGGACTGGAGATTGAATCAATCACCAACTGCCAAGGATTTAATCGATAATGCCTATGTAATGAAGCCAAATTTTGTGTGTTAAAGAGCACAGAACAGAGGCAAGGGGACAGAACAATTACTAAATATCTGATGACTAATTGGTTAAGATTTCCTGAAATTCTTTTCTCTGACAGATGTCAGGTAGGTGGTGTAATTCCCTAGAAGCGTTTTAATCCCTAGATCTTAGGTTTTCTACTTCAAAAGAAAGAGGAAATGAGCGTCTTCCAGCAAGTCACTTAAACTTTTTGTGCCTTAGTTTTCTCATCTGAGAAATGAGCGTAATAATAATTACACCTAACTCACAGGACTATGGTGCAGATTAAATGAGTTAATCATGCAAGTTTCTTAGACCACTGTTTGGTACATAGTAGACACTCATGGTAGCTATGATGATTATTACTCTAAAAAAGGACTGATTTGAGTGAAAGAAGCCAAACACAAAAGAATACACTCTTTGTGACTGCATTTATATGAAATTCTAGAGAATGCAAATTTATGACAAAAGCAGATCAGTGGATGCCTGGTGCTGGGGCTGGGAGGGGGGATTAACTGCAAAGTGGCAGGAAGGAATGTTTGGGGGTGATGGAAATTTTAACAGCTTGGTTGTAGTGTGCTTACACAGGTATGTACATTTTTCAAAACTTAAAATGGGTACAGTTTATGGTATGCAGTAGAGAAAGGGCATGTGTGGGACTGGGGATCAGAGTAGCAAGCTGTCTTTGAGAAGGCAAAAGCACTAGTAAAGCACATTACAGCTCTGGGCGTCTCCCAAGCAGGGCTACCATTTGACTTAGATGTGTCTGTGACTCTGGTAGGTATAGGGCAGGCACTGTGGCAGAAAAAACAGAAGGGGAGAGTGCTCCTGGGGTTTGGTCTCAGCTCTGGAAGGGGGCAGGAACCCCACATACTTCCCCTAGAGCAAAACTCCTAGCAGTGGTGTACACAGAGCTCCACGTGGAGCCTCTCAGGAGGGATGAACTGCAGTGGCCAGCGGGCTGAACTCAGAGCCCTTTGGCTGGTTATTACTCCTGGTCCCTGGCCCCTTGCACTGACAGCTGGGCTGTTCTAAAGAGATTAACCCTATGGCTCTGACAACAGGAAGCTGAAGGGTGGATGATTAATGAGTGGGCCTTTGTGGGGTCAGGATGTGTGGAGGTGACATTTGGGTTTGCCTGCAAGAGCCTGAGGCAATCCTCACTGTCTTCCATGTCCTGGCTCATAAGGCACTGACACCCCCTGGCCATCAGGGAGCTGATGCCCTAGCTTGGGTTCAATCCCTAGCAACTGACCCTTCAGTAGATACAGCAGATTGGACGCATGGAAAGAGTGGCCACCACAGAACTCGGGTGGGATGGCATATTGCCAAAGATGTCGGGTTGCCCTTGAAACACAGTGATTTGGTTAATGCATTAACAGCATGCCCTGTGTGTTCTAAACAATGCCCATGGCAACTGCCAAAGGAGTCTGAGGCCACCCACCAGAGTTCCTAACCGGTAAGGGATTGGCAAACTGACTATACTGGCCTCCTCCCTCTGAGAGAGGGTTCTAACATTCCCTGGTTTGTGTGGACTCCACATCTGGCTTAACCCAAGCTTTCCCCTGTCCCCATGCAAACCAGGCCACCACTGTTAGGGGATTAGAGAGGCTAAGTACCATGTAGCGGTACCCTCATCAAATAGATGGTGACTCGGGTCACATTTCAGACTGTGGATTGTGATATGCAAGACTGGGCAAAAGAACATGGCACTGAATGGAGGTTCTATCTCCCCTATAACCCACAAGCACCAGGGCTGAGAGAAAGGAGAAATGGAATATTAAAGCAGTACCCTAAATTACTAACAGATAAAGCCACTGTGGCTGGGTGTACTAAAGTACTGTCCAAGGCTTTCATACATCTGAATGATCAACGAGTAGGGCTGTTGCCCCATATCCCAGACTGGGGACCCCTACGGAAGCACCGATACCAAAAAGGTATGTCAGGAAACAGCCGTTGCCCTGACTTTCACCATGGATCAACGTGCTACGGTGCTGAGAACACCAAACTGCCTCACACCTGGGAAAGGGGATTATCTACTGGAATTTGCAATGGGACACTCTAACAGGATGGGTGAGGGGGAACTACTCAATCTCCTCTGGGTTCCTGTTGTCCTGCCACAAGCTGGGCCTGTTGAAATGCGTTATACCTGGAATGGAATGCGCACCACTGGAAAACAGGAGAAGGTGAGGGTTCTGGTCTCAGGTATCCTGCCACCAGCCCATCTCCTCAAGCCTGACAGCACTACCCCCCCCCCCGGCTAACATGTATGTTATATAAAACCAGGTCAAATTCTTAAGGCTGCTGACCTCCCTCTCCTCAAAGGCCAGGTGGGCATGTTCTGTTTCCCACTGGAATGATCTTTTGGCTGCTGTCTTTGAGCCCTCCATTGGCCTGGAGCACATGACAGCACACACAGAGCCCCCTACTACATGCACTCACCAAGGCTTGAATGACAGCCAGCAAAGCCTGTTCTTCCAGCACACTGAAATGGCTCTAATGAGACAACCAAAACAGAAAGGCCTTGGCCATCATTACTGCCTTGCAAAGAGGCACCTAGGCCATTATCCAAACAGGATGTCGTGTGCTCATACCCGGTGAGTCTGTTAATGTGTTGCCTTTATTAAATCATAGGACACAAGTGAACGCTCTGAGTGATCTGGCTCCCAGCCTAGGGGACTTAGTAACAATGGTCTGAATCATGAGGCTCTCAGTGGAGAAAGGTATCCGTGATCTGGGGAATTATTGTCTTAACCCGTGTCTTCTTCTGTATGTGCCTGATGCTGTGGCATCTGCCTCCAATGCAGCCAGACAGCCACCAAATGAGCCACCCATATTGCCCACTCAGGGCACACTGTGGAAGAGAAAGTGTGTGAGATTGTAAGAGCCGGTCGCGAGGGGTGGAGCGCTGGGGCAATCGGAATCCCCTCACCCTTTCCTCTTTCCTTAGAGTGTGCTCTCCGCTTGTCTTCTTGCACCAGAAGCTGCCCAGGACACAGCCTTGAGATGTGGTGTTGACACCATCTGGACGGTATATGTGACTGAGCCCAGATAAGGCCACTATATAAACTTTTAAGATTCTGGTGGGCATGGACAGAGGTCTACTTATCCTGCAAGGCAAGCCTCTTGTGTAAGTTCCCATGCTTATTAAACCTGCCACCTACCAATCTGGAGAGGTCTGCCTTTTCCCGTGGTCTCTCCCTGCCCTCCCTGCATGGGGGACCGATTCAAATTACACCCTGAAGCTCCCAAGGTTGCCACCCAACAGTAGTCTACACTCTTCCTCCACAAAAAGATGTAATAAAAAAAGGCTCTTGGGGCTTCCCTGGTGGCGCAGTGGTTGAGAGTCCGCCTGCCCATGCAGGGGACGCGGGTTCGTGCCCCGGGTCCGGGAAGATCCCACATGTCGCGGGGCGGCTGGGCCCGTGAGCCATGGCCGCTGAGCCTGCGCGTCTGGAGCCTGTGCTCCGCCACGGGAGAGGCCACAACAGTGAGAGGCCCGCGTACCGCAAAAAAAAAAGCCTCTTGGTATGTGAATTCTAGAAAGATTAAAGAAAAAAGGGGGAATAATGAATTTTAAAATTCTTTAGAGCAACTTGGTCAACAGGTAAAGAGAGAAAAACTAAATCTTTTCAGCATATTAGATTTTACCATAAAGCTGAAGAGATTCACTGACACTTTAGAGAGGTTCTATTTATCTGGGGGTAGAAGCTTAACCCGGTTTGGCATCAGTTACCAGTTGCAGTGCAAATTTACCTGCGTTGAACTCGGGATCATCTTCCAGCACGGTCACGGCTCCTTCCACAGCGTCAACTGCGCTCCCTCCCTCCTTGAGGATGTTGTAACCCACGGTGGCAGCTTTGACGATGCCCTGGCGTACCCGCTCCTTGCGGTCCTTGGAGATATTGCTGGCTCCGCCACCGTGGACCACGACGACGGCGGGGTTCATGGCGACGGATTCTAGGGATCAGGATGACGAAAGTGTCCTTTCAAGCGGGTCCAAGAGAACCGCACGGGGCTTAAGTCTCCCGTTGGGCACAAGGTCCAGTTTCTACGTAGGGAGGGGAAAGCCCTCAGAGTTTACAGCCTCAGTCAAATTCCTGAGACCCAGGGAGTACGGAGGACAGAGGCGGCTGGGTTTGAACTTTGCAAGTAAAGCCCAGAGCGCCCGCCCCCGGCCCGGGGCATCTGCTGACTTCGCGGGGGCGGTGGGATGCTCTGCGCCCCAGAGCCCGCGCCCCCTCCTCGCCCACTGACATCGGGCTTCCGTTTCCCCGGGGAACCCCGGTTCCTGTCCTGTGCTGGGCCCCCGGCCGGGATGGCATCTGGGGTCGCAGCTCCAGCCTTCCTCCCCGGCCCCACGTCGGGCCTCGGTTTCCCTCGGTTTCCAGGGGCGGCCTGAGGGCTGGATCTCTCCAGTGCCCTCCCGCCTCCAGCCCCCGGCACCGGGGAGTGTGCCTTTCGGGGTCTCGGGTGGCGACTCCCTCAGGGCCGTCGACTTACCGAGGACGCCGCAGGAGGCGGACGCCGGGGCTTCGGGCTTGGCCGAGCCTCCCGGTCGGCCTCGGAACCTGCACAATCCAGTCTCTCCAGTCGAAGCCGCTCTGGAAACCGCTGTGCCCGCAACCTCTCTGCCAGCAACGGCTCCGCGCCTGCGCACGAGGGCGGGGCAGCGCGCCGCGGAGAATTACCGTAAAGCCCCAACGCGCCGCCGCGGCGCAACCCCTCTGCCGGCCTCGCCACTGCGGATCAGAGTCTCGCTGCCCGACTCCTAGGACAGGGGCTATGCTGGCCTTCTGTGCACGCGAGCCTCCTAGTGGGATGCGGGGAACTCCTCCTCCTCCTCCTCACGAGGCGGAGGGGTGGTGTTGATGGCGACATGCAAGAAGTGATGCGCCGCGGTTTTGTAACTGAAAATTGAAAAGCACCGCTGCACGCACTGAAGTCCTTCCTCTGCCCGAGATGTTTCGCAGACTTGCTAGTTATTCTCTTCCTTTTAACGTAACGTTTGGTAAAGAACAGAAAGATAACCTCTGTAATTGGTCTGGTTCTGCGCCTGGGGTGCACTGAAGAGTCTGAAAACCACTCCTCTGAGCCTCAGGATCTCAGCTCTAAATTCCTTCAACCACAAGTGACCTAATTTTTTTGTGACACTTTTCCTCCTCCCTGCCCTAGAGCCTGAAAGGCTGTGACCCCGCTAGATGATTGATTGTATTCCCCCGGAGCTGCCCTAGATTACTGTTACCATAGTGACCTTCAAATAGAAGTTTGCACCTTCTACCCAGTAAAACAACTGCAAGATACTAGATTAGTGACATGAACCAAAGGATACATTATTCTGTTATGTAAAATAGCGGCAAAAACTCACTGGGCCTGAAGCTTTGAATTAGAAGAAATAAGCAGCAGGCATTGTGCAGAGAGAACTCAGTCCTTTTCTAAGTCCTGCCTTTTCTCCGAGACCACAGAGATGCGGGCCAGAGGCATCAGCAACCAAAGTTATCTTACTGACTTTCTGACCACTCTGACTAACATAGCCCCACATCTGGCAATTGCTATTTATGAAATTTCCCCTAGACAGCTATTAAGCTATGAAAGTTCTCTCAACACTGGACTATTGTACACAAAAGGCACTCTAGAAACATCTTCCTACCTCTTCTCCGGGTAGTCGAATGTGTGTGTCATATTCAAGCTGTGTTAACTGCAGCTACTTGTTTTTTTGCGGTACGTGGGCCTGTCACTGTTGTGGCCTCTCCCGCTGCGGAGCACAGGCTCCGGACGTGCAGGCTCAGCCGCCATGGCTCACGGGCCCAGACGCTCCGCGGCATGTGGGATCTTCCCGGACCCGGGGCACGAACCCGTGTCCCCTGCATCGGCAGGCGGACTCTCAGGCACTGCGCCACCAGGGAAGCCCAACTGCAGCTACTTTGAATCCCAGCCTACATTACTCTATCACTGGGGTACCTCTTAGGGACCCAGTTTGACAGCGCAAGCCAGGGGATGCAGATAAATTCAACACCAGCCTCAGGTCAAGGCCATGGGAAGGAAGCCTCCTTCAGCCATAAATATGCTATACCATAATCTTGACTAGGAAACCTTCAGTTCATCCTGCTATAATTGTAATTCACCTAAATTCACTTTTTGAGAAAAGAGGTTAAGGTTTCAGTATGATAGGACAACCTAACTCCCTAGTTGCTTTTCTTCCCCTTACATGGAGGGTTGACTGTACAAATAGTGAGTACTTTTGGCTCAAAATGTGGCATGGATCAAAGCATAACTTTATATGGGTCAGTAAGACACAGTCATACATGTAATGATTTCTTAAACTGGCCTCCCCAGGAAGATAAGCTGGCTGTGTCAATAAAAGTCTCAAGAGGTCTTAGAAGGAAACAAGGCACTGAGAGAAATATGGGTCCGTTTCTCTCTGCCTTGTCAGCTTTGAAAGAGAGGGACAGATAAGCAATTGCTTCAGCTCGGATAGATAGGGTGGGGGAATTTTTTTTTATTTTTTTATTTTTTTTTATTTTTATTTTTGCAGTACGCGGGCCTCTCACTGTCGTGGCCTCTCCCGTTGCGGAGCACAGGCTCCGGACGCGCAGGCTCAGCGGCCATGGCTCACGGGCCTAGCCGCTCCGCGGCATGTGGGATCTTCCCGGACCGGGGCACGAACCCGTGTCCCCTGCCTCGGCAGGCGGACTCTCAACCACTGCGCCACCAGGGAAGCCCAGGGTGGGGGAATTTTGTGAAAGATGTGGGCACTGGTCATGTCCTGGGGCTGAACAGTCAACATTAGATCCATCTTGGGGGATGGTGCCCCTAATCCTGAACCCTGACCCTGGGCCCCTCCCCGTGATGGGAAGGGTGATAACCATATAACCGAGCCATGGTCTCAGATTTTATTGAGTATCAGAATCACTTGGAGATGAAATACAGATTGCTGGGCCCCACTCCAGCATTTTTGACTCAGTAGGTCTGGGGGTGGGAGACCCAAGATTTTGCATTTCTTTTTTTTTTTTTTCTTGCGGTACGTGGGCCTCTCACTGTTGTGGCCCCTCCCATTGAGGAGCACAGGCTCCGGACGCGCAGGCTCAGCGGCCATGGCTCACGGGCACAGCCGCTCCACGGCATGTGGGATCTTCCCGGACCGGGGCACGAACCCGTGTCCCCTACATCGGCAGGCGGACTCTCAACCGCTGCGCCACCAGGGAAGCCCAAGAACTTGCATTTCTAATGAGTTCTTAGGTGAAGCTGCTGTTGCTCGTCTGGGGACCACTTGTTGAGAGCCACTTATCTAGAAGGAGCTATTGAGACCTTGTCCTTTGAAAACTCATCCAAACCGACGTTTGTGACAGTCTTCTTCATGGGATCTAGAGTAGGGGATTAGGAGGTTGGGAAATTTGTGCCATTTTTGGTTTTCCTTTTTTTCCATTCAAGTGTTCCATGAATGGTGAATGAGCTTTTGTTTAAGTGCCCAGTGTTAGAGTGCTAGGTTCAGTCCATCTGGGAGGGTAGGCTTGGGGGGAATTGAAATAGGCTGGGAACGATTAAAATTAGGCCCCCAAAATAAATTTGCAGCACTGATAGCAGTTCTCAATGAAGAGGCAGCTATTCCAAGAGGTGTCTATCAGCTAAGCTTCCTGCCATAGCACCACCCACATCTTCCCCACGGAAATTCCCAGTGCTGATTATAGCCCTTTGGTGGGCTTTTCTGTCCACAGACTAAGTGATGAGCATCTTACAGACAGGAACTTTGACAGTTCTATTTGCAACACAAGGCCAGACCAGTGCCTGGCTCTCTGAAGATTTTCATAAATGTTTGTTGGATAAAGAACAAATGGTTCAGAAACTCAAAAAAGCAAATTCCCAGAACTCTGGGGCAATAGCTCTTGGAAAGAATGAAACTGGAGTGGTCTGGATATTTGTGAGCTGATCAGTGAGCACAACTTATTGCTATGGGAGAAAAACACTGGATTTCAGATAGAGGTGCCTGGAATCCATTTTCCTGGCAGAGTCACATTGGTGCCCACTTGAGGGCTGTGGCTTAGAGGTAGTAACAGCCCCATGATGGGCACCATCTGGACTGTTGTGTTCAGTGCTTTATGCTCTGGGCCTGGCACAGAGCCTGGTACACAGTAACTGCTCAAAATGTTTTTTTTCTTAACTTAAAAAATTTTTATTTATTTACTTTTGGCTGTGTTGGGTCTTCGTTGCTGTGCATGGGCTTTTTCTAGTTGCAGCGAGCGGGGGCTACTCTTCGTTGCAACGTGCGGGCTTCTCATTGCGGTAGCTTCTCTTGTTGTGGAGCACAGGCTCTAGGTGCACAAGCTTCAGTAGCTGTGGCTTGCGGGCTCTAGAGCGCAGGCTCAGTAGTTGTAGCGCACGGGCTTAGTTGCTCCACGGCCTGTGGGATCTTCTGGGAACAGGGCTAACCCGTGTCCCCTGAATTGGAAGCCGTATTCTTAACCACTGTGCCACCAAGGAAGCCCTCAAAATGCTTATTGAATAATAAATGGACCAACTTCATTCAGATGGGGGGGGCTTCAGCATCGGACAGGGGTTGGGCTGAGGTTTGGGGGTCCTGAGGATACTGATGGATAGTAATTATAATTCAAAGCTCAACATCTGAATAAGAGAACATACTTATATAAGGAAAGATCCTTCTCTAGATTAATCAACCCTAAGAAGTCTAAGCTGGATACATTTTCAGCTGAAAAATACATTTTCAGGTAAGGGGTGTATTGTTATAGACAAAGCATGGCAAAGTATAAAGGACAAAATAAAAATGGTTATAATTCTGCCACTTGGAGATACTCAGTTAAATTTTTTGGTATATTTCTCCCTTTCACTATTAAGATGCTCTATTTCTTACTTTTTCACCTCAGGTAGCATTATTTGTGAGCATTTCCATGCTATTAAATGTTTTCCATGTTGTACTACTAGAAATAATACTTC